AAAAAAAAACTAATTTCAGGCTTGATGATCCATTCATTCACGAAATAATTAGTATAGAGAAGGATTGTACACGTTTTTTGTGTAATTATATATTATTTTAATCTCCTATTCGTACCCTATACAAATCTAAAATGACCTATAATGGAATTTTATTATGTAGAATGGATGATGCTATAGTGCTCGTTACATATCGTAGGATCAGATCTGTAAATCACTGGTGTAATTTCTATTCTCATCCTATTCTAACATCAGAGTCATCAGATTGACTTGCATAATACTAATTTAAAGATTCGTAATATGCGTACTATGCCAGAATGTTCCAGAAATTAGTTGGTAGATTAATTATTCATTGATCTATTCCCATAAATTTGCAAAAATACCCGCTACATAATACAGGACGCAGTTAAATTACATGACCTCATCTGCGGGACAAGAGAAGCTAAATAACCTCTTTTTTCTTGCAAGCTCGAAAAAAATATATTTAACCTTAAAAGACTGTTATCTAGTACTAATAACTTTCTATATCTGGCTTTGAGTGATTTTATCATGAGAAGGTGGGGGATAAGGTATTTTGGTATATTATCATTATGGAACAAACTTATTTTGATATTAGTACTAGTAATAAGATTGGGGTACATGAATTCTTGGAGGCTTTGGGATTATTAGATAATGAAGTCATATCCGTCAACATGGATGATGATGACAATAGCGAATCTGATATCGACGAAGAAGATAGTAATGATGAAGATAGTAATAACGATCAGGACAATTATTGGAACTGGGACCCTAGAAAAAAATTTACCTGATGGGATTATAAAAGATGTTTTGGTGAAGATGCTTTGAAAAAGCTTTATCGAGACTGGGAAGCTTATCAATATTTTATTCTTCTTAGGCTATTTACCATGCACCTTCCTAATTTATCTAAGCAAGCAAAAAATGGATTATTTGTCACATTTTCTAAATCTAATTCATTTGGAGTATTAGAACACAACGCATTATTAGATGCTCTAGCTCATCTTGTGAAAG